AAAATAAAAAATAAATTATATATAAAAAATAATAAAAAAATTGTATTTTGTAACGCAGCCATCAGCTCTGACGCATGTGGCGTTTGTGTAGCAATGGCATTTAACTGCGACCCAACAAAACGGGTCGGCGAGTCATTACTTCATTTGTTTTAAAGCCTCCCCGGAGGCGCAAACGCATTGCCTCGTGGGAGGGAGGAAAAGAGTCACAGCAGAGAATAAACAGAAGGGAACCATGCGCACCATGCAAGGGAAGTCTTGCTTCGTGTGCTTTTGTGGTCCAGGTATATTCTTGTCTGGCAGCGAGTGCTGCTATGTAATACAGCGTTCCAGCGCTTTCGAGCCCCAACCTCTCATTCCCGCTGATAGGTGGAGAACTTGACCAATAGCCGTAGCGCCACCGTCCTGACGTCAGGACAGTGTTCAAATCTGGATCAGTCTGTATCAGATCCGTTGCAGCCCCTTTTTTAGAGATTTGGGTATGGAGGAAAATAGAGAGGGTTGTGTTTTCTGACACTTGGTGAGTTCCCTGGAACACGGGGGACACATATTCATGTATAAAAGATGTACAAAAGTGCATTTTGCATGATAGTTCCCCTTTAAGTATATCATCTCAATTATTCTTGAAAGTAATTATTATACTGGGACTACCATGATTGACTTTGTTGTGGATGCATGTGAGTTGTAGAAAAGAACACACAGCAAATAGATCCATCTGCTTTAGCAGTGTTGTTTTCATCTTAATCAAAAACCCATTGGGTGTCAAATGGAAACAAATGACTACCTCTGTCTGCAACAGTGAGTGAGTGAGCCGGAGATAAAACACATAGACATACGGTATAATTACTAAAACATAGAAACATTGGTGAATCATCCACAAGTGCTACTCGTTAAAATAGAAGTGAGCTTCAGCTCAAATAATGTCCCTGAACTAGCTTTTTAATATCTAGAAAATATTTGTTTTAACTGCAAAAAGGTTTAAGTATCTATTCCAAACTGATACAGCAGTATGAGGTTAACAAATATAATAATAAGTGTTTTTATTTAAGTGCCCACTGCTCTAAATACAGCATAGTTCTATCTCTGTGATTGCTCCTGTGAGATTTCTTTTCTCACTTCAAGCTATTTCAGTAAAATAACACGTCTGAAAGTCCTTCAACTATGTCCTGTAGAGCCTCTTCGCAGTTTCTCAGAGACTTGTTCAGACATCTGACTTCAATCCAAACACTCTCTGCCCTTTTTTCTTGTGCCGTGTCAGGAGGATAGACATATCTAAGATGCTCTTTTAATGTTTAACTAACCTCATCAAAAAGCTTCGGGGACCTCATCGAGTAACGGTGACCCCAGGGCCACCGGCGTTTGCGTAACCTTGGAAGGGCCGATGTTCTCTCCCCAGCCTGGTCTTTTCACTCGGTGTGACATTTACACAGACGTAATTTGCCAGCAGGCGCGTTGCACAAAAGGGAGCGATCATAACGGCCATCACTGACGGCTATATGCAGGAGAGAAAGTCGGCCGGGGAGGGGCAGACAGACAGAGACACAGACGGGTTCGAAGAAAGAAGAGACGTTCTCAGAGAAAATGTAACGGCCTGACCCGTCACTGTGAAATAATGAGCCCTTTATCTCAGGAAGGATGCTTACTCAAAACCTAATCTCTGGAATTAGTAATATAATGGTGGATGGAAGTCTTTTCTCCCCCTCTCTTCCCCTTCCCCCTCGCTCCGTCTGCCTCTCAGTGCCATTCCCATTAAAGCCTGCACTTTTGTACTGCTAGAGTTTGACTCCATCATTTCTCCCTGGCTGCCTGGCGGGGAAGAGCTATGCCATGGAGATCCTTCATGTCTGCTGCAGCGCTAATGGAGCAGGTTTAGGAAGCTGTGGGCCACTAAATTACCCTGCATTGCTCAGCCGGGCCATATGCAGAGGGGACACGTGGGTCACAGTTATGTTTCAAAGGTGATTTAGGGAGGATTGAGCACAAGATGAGGAGCAATTGGCCATCGGATACATCTGCACCCTACTAATCCGTTTTGTCAGTGTTACTGTATCCCCATCTGTTTAGTTGATGTGTCATTATTCATTTGGCCGGGGTTCAGCTCTGCACAGTTCCTCATCCTGAGTCGATGCCTTAGGGAAAGTTTCCAGGTTACTATCTGTGCAAGGGTGTTAATAATATCTTTAAACAATAGAGCCACTTATTTCAAAAGAAAACAGAGTTATTATGCACCTTGTTGCCTGGTTCATAATAACCTTGTCTGTTTTTTTTACAGGTTATAAATAATAGATAGAAAGAGGGATTAATGAATCAAATGTGCAACAAGTAACCATGCCATATTATGCTTTTGGGGTTTTTCCTTCCCTGTAACATAGTGACATCACTACAGTATGTAACTTGCGCTACTATTGGCTAGCACTCCAACAGATTGTACGTGATATATAAGGCATGGGACATCTCTAAGCGGTTGACGAATCACAACAGGACCGGACAGCAACCAATCAGAGCAGACTGGGCTCTGGTTTCAGACAGAGGGTGAAAAGAGGTGCTGCAGCACAGGCAGTATGAGAAACATAAAGATATTTTTGAACATTAAATCATGGAAACATGTCACAGTAGAGACACTACATACAAATAAAAAAAGGTCCTTTTTAAGCTAAAACCTTTTTAGGGCCTCTGCAAACACTTGTTGGCATTAATTGAAATATTAATAATCATGAATCAGTATGCTCAGTGTCACTGTGTATGGTAGGGTGCGGTCTGTTATTAAGCTGTTTTTATGATGAAACCTAAATGTAACTATTTATGGCTCAGATGATGTTCTTCATGCATCAAAACTAAATCTGGTCTCTCCTTATGCTGTCTCCACAGGAAGTGATGTCGGTGGATGAGGAGAGCACATCCTGCTACTGTCTGCTGGAGACTCAGAGGTGCCACATGCTGCTGGAGCACCCGGGGCGCTACGCCCTGGTGGGGGAGCCGCTGAACCAGGAGGCGGCCAAGAGGCTGAGGCTGGCTGTGTTTGGAAGTCCAGACAGCAACAACTCTCTGGGCTTCACCCTCAGGGTCTACTGTGTGGACGACACCCCCCACGTATTTCAGGTAGAATGAGAGAGGGAGGGTACTGAAGGGAACAATGGACAAATGTGGATGACTCAATGTAGTTGGAAAGTTATATGCTTACAATCTAATAGTTCAGATTTTTCAATATTTCCAAAAATACTGATTTACAACAATAATCTTTTACTTTGCTGAGATAGTTCATAAAACCATATTGTTATATTTGACAGGAGAAAAGTACAAAAATCTGTTTCCTGTATGAAAGATGCAAAGTAAATTCCTTAAATTCGACCTGCACAAAGCGGCAACTCCTGGTCTGAAAAGAGTTCTTCCCCATGCCAATTCATTGCTCTTTTCTGCTTGCCTTTTTTCTAAAGATCAGCAACTTCACGGGTTGCAAACAGAAGTGTGATTGCATAGAATCTATGTGGAAATGACCCTACTTCTTACTCCATATATTACCTCAACAAACATTTCCTAATGAGTTTATGTACTCATTCGCAAAATGTAAGTTGTCTTTGAATCAGCATAACGATTATTTTTTAAATGATGTCCGAAAAAAACAATAAGGCGATGGCAAAACTTCCATTATGCCAAACTCCAATCTTCAAAGCAATTGTCCATTTCACATATTCAGTCTATAGGCTGTACTTAGACATGTGACATTTTAATGTATTCAATTAAAAACTAAAGTTGTAGAAAAAACTAAATACAACAAACCTGTTGCTGGCTCTAAATATAAAGTTATAGATCATCCATGTGACTACAATCATCCTGAGCAGAACATCAATGTTTAAACCAGATTGAATGAAAATCCATCCAAAAGTTGTCCTGACATTTCCCCCAAAAGCACAAATGTCATCCTTTATGGTGGCACTACTGGAAGAAGATCACAAAAGTCATTAGGATACATCATCTGGGAATAGTGAATATAGAACATTCCGTGACATTCCTTTTAATGGTGGATTGACCAACAGGCCAACATCGCCATCCACTAAACCGCCAAATCCTAAAATAGTATGATTATAAATATTTGATTGAAGAAATCTAAATTGCAAAGGGTTGGGAGTCTGTGGCTGCTTGTTTTGCCTGAGAGAATTGCTGTCTGGGTTTTTTCTTTGCTCCACTGAAGACCTGCCTGCTCAGTAGCACTGCTAGGGGGAGATGCTTGATGACTAGACAGACAAAGAGGGACTTTTAATTACAAAGACAACAGATGCTCCAAGGTTGCTTCTCTGCCCTTTCTTTGCGTAATTGAATTTGCTCTCTGTTAATTAAATGTGTTTCTGCATTGCTTTCCATTTGCACAGTATTTTAACATGTTAAAACACAGACACATTTTCAAGTGCAGCACAAAAGTGTGCCCTTCCTCTTTGCAGTGTTCTGCAGCCAACACATTCTTTTTTAGCAAGAGCAATTTGTCTCCTGGCTTAATTAAACGCATTCAGCTTTTCTCAAGTCGTGCTGATAGCTGAACTGCCACTGGCCGAACTTCACTTCTGGCTTCATTCAAGTGCTAGAATTGCATGTGAACAAAGAGAAATAGCTTGTGAGCACCAGGAGCCAGTCCGAACCACCTCTCCATAAGTCAGGCATGGTTATTTGTTCATTGTTCTTTTTGTGTTGGCTTTTGTTTGTGCTTTATACGACAATTAATTTCCCCTGTGAGCTCGAAGCTGGAATTGATCAGCTTCTGGACAGACAGTATGCTTTGCATCCCTTCCTCTCTTTGTGCTGAGAAGAAAAACATCAAGCCGACCGGACACACACCCACATACCTGCATTCCCTAGATACAGAGAATGTAAACAAAAACAAGTACATATGCACACAGATGTTGTTGCTTCCTATTGATTCAGAGAATTACAATATCCCAGGTCTGCAAGGCAAAAGGAATAATATTGACAAAGGACTTTTGTTGAGATCTTTTTCTCTGTTTTTGTCTTGTCTTTGTCTTCAACAACCAATATGTGTGAATAACAAATCAGGCAGCTTTCTTTTCCCTCATCTGATTTTCACAGCGATGCAGTGCATCAGTTTCTTTCATTTATGTTCGGGCAGCAGTGGCTCCTGAGGGCCACCGTTAACTTTAACTTTCAGAGGCTAATCGCTTTGGGTGCATTTTAAAGGTTCAAAATGCCAGCTTTTATTTTTCGTTTAGCAAGGATTTTTATTTTGCATCATGGTCACAGTGTTTCTCAAAGCAAGAATAGATAAGATGAGATAAAACTAAGAAGTATTTATCCCGGGGGGAAATTGCTCTGCAGTAATCGCTGTACATAGTGGGAAGAGTGCAAATGTAATAGATAACAATAAGGAAGAAATACAAAATATATAAAATACTCAGGTTCAAAATCTGGATAAAAGAAATAAGTCCTGGTCAGTGGCAAATTGATATGCATGTACAGTATCAGATGTGAAGTCAAGTTAAGTGTTAAATTAAATGTACAAATATCAAATTTTGTTTAATTTATTCTTCATATTTTCTTTTTTTGCGCTTCTTTATACTGGAATTTTGCAACAATATTCCTATTAGAGTTCTATCGAGAATATAGAGAATCTTTCTTAACTTTTATAACTACTATTTTATTTAAAATTAGTCGATAATTAATTTAATTATTCCTTTTAATTTCTTACATTTCTTTAAAACTCTTTACCCTTGCAGACCTGTTTCTATGAGAGGATATTGGTTTATTATTCATATACTTCGCACATTCTATATGTTTACTTGCTTAATAACTCTGCTACTTATTATTTTCTATATATTATAATTATATATATATATGTACTTATTTGATTCATGTGTGCTTTCCTCTTTATTTGACCAACCTACGCTTCTTTTCCTTTTATCTGCACTCTCCCTTTGCTGTAACAATTATAATGTCCGCGCTGTGGTACAGATGAAGTGTTTTTGATTCAGATTCCTGTTATCAGCACTTTTGAGTCCTGGCTTGATACTCAGATTGTGTCAACCTAATAAAATATAGACCCTAACCTCTGCCCTCCTCCTCTCATTGATCAGGAGGTGGCGGCGGGCGAGCGCAGTAGGGGGGGGCGGCTGCTGGAAGAGCCTAAAATGATGCTGTTCAGGGGGAACACGTTCAGCCTGCAGGTATCCATCCAGGACGTCCCACAGCTACTCTGGAGCATCAAGCCTTTCACCACCTGCCAGGTAGGAAGCTCATTACGATGGGATGGTGTCAGTAAGTGTAAAAGTGCGATCAAGTTTACAGTGTGTGCACTTCTGATGTAAATGGAGCTCCCCTTAATGAGGGTCACAGAGAAACCATGCACCTTCATCTGCTGTGCTTCCTCTCCTCTATCAGTTTCCCTTTTCCTAACATGGCCACATCAAAGCAAAAGGACAGCAGCAAGGGCACAGCAGGAGATCGCTAAGGCTAGCTATCTCACTCACCCACCCTTATAAAACTAATTATGACTGCCAGGCAGACACACACACACACAGCTTCCTAGAGGTCCACACACTGCATGTTCTGCTCTGCCCTGTGATGTTTATCACAACAGTGACATCCTATTAGCAGAATTAGCCCACCGTAGTGCTGCCAGAATACCAACAAGGCTTTTTAGAGAGTAAAAGCTGCCATGTGAGGGTCCTACAGAGAAGATGACTGTAGGCTTCCTTCAGACACCACTCCGCTCTAAAGGAGGCTTTCACAAGTAGCCATCCTCCTGTCTGATGGATGTGAAAAGAGGATGATTCATCCGTACAGCAGTGTTTTTGACCTGCTCTCACCACGACACCGTCTGGGTCACACAGTAGTTAGTAATGGAAGGTAAAATTGGCCTCTTCGATTCCATTTACTCGAAAGCTCCTTAGTTTTCCAACTGCCACTTTGCAGGGAAGTGCAACAGGGCAAATTAAGGCATCCATGTCTTCATTCCAAAATGACGTTACAGTTCCTGATCTAAGACTTTGGCATTTACACGATTGATCAAGGCATGTTATCCAAAGTTAGAAAAGAAAACATAAAAGACAAGAAATGGCAGTGTAATTAATGCTGTTGGCTGTTCTTTAACTAAAAGTGGATGGCGTAATGATTAATTCAGTGACTAATGATGCTGGTTTAGGACTGTAAGATTAACCTAATGCTTGCATGTGAGACTAGCCATAGTTATTATGCAAAAGTAATATCAAGTAACTAGATTATTTCTCCCAGGCAACAGTCAGTAACATAATGTATATTTTATTACATTTTCGCACTAATGACTCTTCTCCAGATGTAAGCAGGATACATTTTGGTCCCAGAGGCTCTGAATGCCTGTTGGTGCTCTGTCTGACGGGTAAACTGCTTGATTAGGTAACACCATTGATTGGTTAAAGAGGCCACTCATTGGCTCTTAATTAATCTTTTTACACGGCAAAGTGGGTGACAAAGCAGCTTTCAAATAACTAATGCCTTTGATTTAATGAGTGTGTTGTCTCCTCTATCTAATCCTCTCATTGTCCTCTCTCCGTCTGTGCTGCTCTGCAGGAGTTCTCCTTTTCTCAGGTGTGGGCCAGTAGCCAGCGTCCCCTGCAGTGTGCCTTCTCTCTGGAACGATACAGCCACTCGTCGTCTCAGCTCTCCTGCAAGATCAGCGTCCGCCAGGTGAAAGGCGAAGAGCAGATCCTGCAGGTGTACACGTCTGTGGTGGAGGTGAGCAGTGAGAGGCAGACAGTGTGTCCTCGCTACGTGGGCAGTCAAGCAGCTTGTTAATAGGTTCTTTTATTACGCTGAAAAACTCTTGATTTGATTTAAGGGCTTGCTTAATGAGCCTCTCAGGGAGCTTTTCATGTATAGATTGCAAATTGTCTTGATAAATCCTTGTCCTTGTCTTCATTTTGAGAATTTCAGCCGCATTTTCAAAAATCACCCTAAAACCTCTTTCTTTTTTCTCCGTGCTGCCAGAATGAAAAGGGAGTGGTTCCCTTTTTCACTCAGTCAGACTGTACCATCACCTCTCAGACAGGGTCAAGGGCTTTTAAAATCCCTCTGTCCATCCGTCAGCGGATCAGCGCTACCTTTGACACTGCTAATGCCAAGGGGAAGGACTGGCAGCTCCTGGCTCAAAAGCTCCACATAGACAGGTATGAGAGGTGTCAGAGTTATAGAGCTCTGAAACCTATATTTGATTATCCTTCTTTATTGTATGCAGGTGTCTTTTACCACTCACTGAGGACAAGCTCAGATAGATGAATGTGCCTGTATGTTGCTTTAAGGTGTTATAACAGCATAATGAATAAAAAGCAGAAATGCTGGATGTTCTCGTTTATCAAAACGTTGCTCCCACTTTGAATACTATTTTTAATCTAGAATTTAGGCATTGTGTCAGCCTTAATCTTCCATCACCAAGCAGCCTTCAGTAACACACCACACTGCTGATTTCATTATAGATCTAGTAACACATACACAGAGAGGGAGTGTGAGGGGGGGGATGTAAAAGCCATCTTTAGTCAGAGTAAGTGCAGTGAATATGCCGTGTTTTGCAGAAATAAGATGAAGGTCTGAGACCGCTGACAGGCCAGCCTCCGGCAAGAAAATGTGTTCATGTTAGCACTCTTCATTAGCAGCATCTTTGCATCCTTCAACTCCTGCTAAACTTTTCGGAGGTTGTGCCAGGTCAGTATTTGCGTAGGCTGCAGAGGATATTAGGTTTTTAGAATTGGATGATCTCTATTTGTGCTTTAGAAGAGGAGTCAATAATCAAGAGCTCACAGTCTGCTCCTTCAAGCACTCGAGAAAAGGAAGTACTGAAAGTAGAAAATGCTCTCTTTGCCAAATCAAGAATCATAAGAGGGAAAGATTCACAAAGAAACTGCGACTGAAACTATGTGATTAAGGAATTATATTCAAACCGAAGCTGAGAACAAACATCTTGGACTGAAGAATGGGAAAGGATTTCGTATTTCTTTCACCAAGAAGCATTTATTATAAATGTCTCTACTTAATTAAGGTTCATTATGTCTCTGAATGTGTGGGAACATCTTTATACCAAGGATAGAAAAGTGGGATAGAAAAGAAAACAAGGTTAAAGGCAACAGAGGAAATCTCATTGTGAGGAAACAGTGCTCTCTGTTGGATAGGCGTTATAACAACAGGACACAAAGAAAATCATGACTTTATTATACAATAAACCATGCTACACTCTGTAACTGGATTTCACTTCATCAATGCTTTTACTCGAGACAAATGAGTTGACTTGATCTATGCTGACTGTATTTCTGACAGACAAGGGTTCTATAGAGAAAGCAGGCGTGGCATTTAGAAATTACCATATTTAAAAAAGGCAAAATCCTGCATACACAAAATGTATGTGCACATGAATTCTAAACATGAAAAAGTCTAAATGTTGGGTACACACCAAATGAGGAATATGTATGTATTCATTCAATTATGTATTGTTTTGATTTATAGGTTGTTTTGTTTCTCAGTGATAAAGGAAGAAGCTAGATTCCTTATTAATGTAAGAGTGGCAATATTATTACTGTATATAACACAAAGTACTGCAGTAGCAGTAAACGTTATATTGAAGTGAACTTGTGGAACTATCAAAAGCAAAAATTATTATTTAGCATGGATTCACACATCAACTATTTTCTACCATGTGACCCCAGAATGGATCTGTAGACTCGGGTCTGGAGTGTTGAAAAAGTGAAAATGTTCAATGAAAAAACTTGATTGAGTTGTATTGTGGTAAATGTGAGATCCAGTGTTTTTGAGTTTTCAATACATTGGGCTAAAAGTCAGGAACTCTGGCTGTTTAGTCTATTACAAAATAAACTTGGGGGAAGCTTGATCACTGGAGCACATCTTTTAAAATGTGTCTTCTTATCATAGATAGTGCAAGGCAGTCACTTCATTGATGAATCACTAACTGACACTCTCCTTTGTTACTCCTCCCATGTGATCCGCACTGTAATACAGAATTCTGTTTCCCTGGCTTGTAGGAACCTGTGCTACTTTGCATGTCAGGAGAGCCCCTCCTCAGTGATTCTGAGTCTGTGGGAAGCCCAGCACCAGGACTCGGGGGACCTGGACTCTCTGGCCAGCGCCCTTGAAGAAATCGGCAAGGTCCAGTCCCCCAGGACCGCCATTCACGGCTGCAGCAGAGAAGAACGGGACTCTGAATTCACTCCACTTGGGTAGGGCGGGTCTACAGCAGCAGATCAGAATAATTACGAACCTTTACTGCATGAACACTGGTGATCAGGTGTACTAGCTAACCTGTGGTGAGGAAGAGGAGCAGGAGCGCAAAGAGGACAGCAGGGAAACTCAGTTTGGACTGTTACTAAAGGAACACCTCTGCTAAATCAAATAGCACATACAGACAGATGGGAATGAAGAACGAAGGGAAGACAAAGAAGGAAATGAGTGGGGAAGTATTTGAGTTATTGAGAGGCACTTACAAAACATTTTAGACCGAGATCTCACCACCATCTTTGATTGAGAAATGTCTCCTGACAGGTTTGATATCTGTATTTAAGGATGATGGTGATTGAAGAGGATTCTCTGTGTAGGTTGGAGTGTGTTTTAACCAGACTGATGTTGTGACTTTACCCGGATCAGATGTGCTGGCTCTCACCCTCAAACAGTCCTCTGGGCTGTCAAAATGTTTAGTGTAATGTCATTTTGTTGTCATTCATTTAACATATCTCCTAATGCTTCTTTTCCTTTTTCTACAAAGTATCTGTAAAAAGAATGCTGGAGTTAGAGGAGGAAACTGAAAGTCATGGATACCAGATATATTTATTTCGTCAGAATTTAGGTCAAAGATACTGACTACGATTAGCATTTAAAATGTTCTGATGATGTCCACATGCTGAAAAACAATGTAAGGCTGTATAAGAAGAGAACTATTATTTTTAAAGACGCCCACACGTAGAACATTTTCAAGTACACTTGCATAACACAATGTCAAAGCTAAGGCTGCAGAAGAGGATCATTGATCCCAATGTATAATGCAATGCAGCCAGAGGTGCACCACATCCCATAATGTCTACTGATCAGCTTTTGGTTCTTTTGTTGGAAAATGAATGTCTCTCTGTGTAATAGGGGACTTTATACCAGTCAAACATTGTGAACATTACATATGCTGCTACGTGTTGATGCTGGTTAAGTGGTGTGTACTTTCAAGACCCTCTGGGACTTTTTTTTTTTTTTTTATCTACATTTTGACTTTTAATGTGTGGCTTGATTTGAGCTGCCGTTTTTTGGATTATCCGAAAATACCTGGAGATCATTATTTGGAGACACGCCGCCGACTCTCACTCCCACTCCCTTCTCTCCTCTTCCCCAGGCAGAGTTGCTCCACCTGCCCCAAAAACATGATAAAGTGACTTTGTGTTGAACTCTGTGTTGGCTGTCTCTTTTCATCTACTTAATGAATTCAGTTCTTGAAACGCCTGAAAGCCCAAAATACGGTGGAGAAATCAGTTACAATAAATCTTTTAAAACTGCATTCAGATATTACATGTTAAATAAAGAAATCCTATCGTTAGAAAAATTTGAAAGAACCACGTCGGTTAAGCTTGGATGGCAGATTTAGTTTTCAAGTAATTGAGACATATTTCTGCATTTTGATGAATAAGCTGTGTGCTTTTCTGCCTATTTACATAAGAAGATCCATGCCATTCCTAATATGAGAGTGGTATAAACATTTTCTTTACATTTTAAATAATATAATTTCCCAAACTGTCGAATAATCCCTTTAATTAACTAAGACTCACAGTTTCTATCGAAGCTGAAAATGAAGGATGCAGAGTCAAGCAGGCTCATGCTGAAAAAGCAAATTCCTGTCCATGCGTAGTCATGGAAATATTTTTGAGGTATCTTATCACAGAGATATGCTTGGCATTCGATAGTTTGACGTCATGAAAATCTGTTTTTACTGAGCCCTGACTGCCGAATAATCGAACAGTAAATATTGCTAACCTTTAGTCTATCAGCAAGCTGTCTGTATGGATCAAAGGACACCATGCACAGGAAAAAGTCCATACAGAGGGACTGATTCTGCACTATCAGCTGAAAAGGTCACTGTTTAGAAAGGCCAAAGCTTGGAATACATTAACACCTGAAAGAAACTAACGCACAGGGAGGCTATTTTATACAGACGGCATGATCTAAATCATAACTTAATGATTTTATCAATTTCGTCCATAAAGAACCAGGAAATAGTGGAATACAAATTTCCAAAGCCAAAGTGAACACATTCAAATATCTCGTTTTGTCTTACCAAAAGTCAAATATTCACAATAGCTGGAACTAGTGATTATTTTAGGCACTATATTTCCATAAAAGCGCTCTACTTTACAAATCACTTAAGCTAACAAATATTATTTCTTAATCAAAAGGCCATCCAAGATTTTGGGATCACCATCCTGCCTGAAGGCAAGCCTCAAGGAAATCTAATGTAGCCTCTTGATGCTACTGCTACATATCATTAGCACAGGTGCTAAACAAGCTTTAGCAGTACTGGAGAGCTTGGCCTCCTCTGCGACAAGGTTTTGGGCTATATAATGAGCTAGCTAGCATACAGTCTTTTGTTTGAGTAAGCTAATCGCTACGACGGATAACCCTCCTTATTGACATGGTTTTGGGCTATATGAGCTATAGCATAAAATCAACAGTGTTAAAAGGCTATTGATTGACTGGAAACTGTTTAACTACTACAAACACCAAAATGATCCATTTTAGTTTGTTCAGTCTCATCTAATCGAATTTAGGGAGTTTATGAAGTAGAGTAATTGCTTTTTTAGAAAATGTAAGTATGGCTAAAGGTAATACGGACCCATTGTAAGCTTCAAGATTTAAAGTACATTTGAAGGGATTTATTCAAGTTTAATGAAACTTTAGCTGGGATCCGAACCGGGCCTAGCTTGTTTCATCAGTACTCAAAAAAGGATTCAACATAGCTTATATTTTGATACATATTTAGGATTAAATTTACTTTTTTTTAAGAAATCGGTTTATTCTCATACTTATTTTCCTTCTGGGATCAACAGCTCCTTTCCAGTAACACATGGACATGGATTTTTCTGCTTGAGTCTAGATGCTGACAATTTTCTGTGAATGAATGCCTCCCACAGTTCCACCTGGAAGAGCAATTTCTCCTCAAAGTGTGGTACATGGGACCTCCTACAGAGCTTGGCTTACGGTGCAAAACAAACGTTGCTTTTCTTGGAAAAAGAGTATTACTGTAGCTGGTCTCAAAAGAAGAATCATCCGAGTTGAAAGAGTTTCCTGAGCTATTCCTCCACAACACGTCCCCCTGATATATCATCACTGAGCAGACTTCTTCAGAATCATGAGTTGACCTTTCTACTAAGGCTCAGACAATGTTGGCAACCTCCAGATTTAATACAAGCTTTTTACTTTATTTAGATTCTGAAAAGGCAGAGCTTTTTGGAGCAAATAAAATTGCAACAACACTCATTTCCACCTGTGTTTGGAGACCATTAGGCAGGTATTGTAGTAAAGAGCGAAGCCACTTAAATGCATGGGGGGGGAATGTTTAACTGTATATAGGCAGTAGTTTGACAGGTAGTCAGGCACGGTTCTTCCATCCTTAACAGTTTAGGAAAATACCAAAACTCCACCACTAACAAGGAATTAATTTCAGAAGACATTTAGCTTGAAAAAGGCTATTTGTCTTGACAACCGCCCTGTTAAAAAGCTGATGGTCTACTGAACATCCAAGTTTGTGGTTGCATTAAAAGAACTGGAACGTGAGATGGAAATGTTGTATGGGACACAGCCGATGTGTTATGGCACCACAATATTCAGAAGACCTTTACACTCATTTAAATAGTACTTGTTTTTACACATTACAGTAGAAGGTTTTAATTTAGTCATCTTCTCTGTTTGTATGCTCAGCATACACTACACATTTTTGAGTGATTACCATTCAGAAAAGGATCCATACCTCGCTACAGATCTACAATGAAGTTTGAACGTGATAAAGTTCTGATTTATGCCTCCTCATAAAGATTTTCATGGACAGGGCTGGAGTGGAGATTACTTTTGACTTTGAAGGAAATCATGTTGGCAAAGCCATGAAACTTCTCTTAAATTGCCTTTTTTTGGCTCAAGGCTTGGACAACAAGGTGTTATTCTGCCAAATATGTTTTCAAAAACTCAGCTTTTTTGTCCCCAATGTACCTATTCAAATTCTCCCACACCTACTTTGGACTTTTTTTCTCAAATGTGGATTTTTGTTCTGTTCCAAGGCCTCATTTTTTCTCACATAAACACAGAAACTAATACAAAAACATATGCAAAATCATAAAGATTTTATAGTTACGTGTGCCCCAAATCCGAAAAATCATACAGCTTTCTAACTAATTGTGCCTCTCCATGGGGTGTCATCAGAAAGTCTGGCAAGAATGTTATTATATTTTCTTCACCATATCAAAGAAACTCTATGTTATATGCAAGCTGTTTTGTTCATTGCCATGCACAGCGACCCACCTTGTATCCACTGCAGAGGTGTTTTCTAAGGATGCTGAAGCATTTAAACCTGTTATCTCTGACTCCAGGAACTTACAGCCACGCTGAGCTGACTGAAAACCATTTGACCATCTGTCACATGCAGATTTTCAGTGTGTCCTTCAGTGTCCTTTACATAGACTCAATGACTCAGAGAGTGTATGCGTGTGAGTGCGTGAAAGAAAGTTGAGTGTAACTTGAAAAAAAAAGCAGTGTCCTTGGAAAAGCCAGCCTACACTAGTGCTACTATTTCAGCTTGTTGAGAAGTGTGATGTAAAGTGTTTTTCTCACAGCGTACTATCTTAAGATCTGCATTGCTTTGGGGAAAAAATTGAAAACAATGTTTACTTAAGTGAAAGTATATCAATTCATCTATTGTGGTGAAAGTTTAATTCAAAACTCTATTTATTAATTTTGTTGGTTGTGCTTCTATTTCTCTGCTTTTCTTTCCAGCACGAGATCTACTGCCTTTTCAATCTTATTCTCATATAACTCTATTTATCAAATACAACTGCTGGTTATCATTATTATTATTTTATTATTTGAATAGCTATGTCTACATATAGAGCCATGCAATTATATATGTTTGATTTAAAACAACCTTATGCATTTTCTGTCCTTTGGTTGAATTGACATGCTATATGGATGTTTATGTTGACAGCGAAAAGTTATGCTTATCACTGGTGGTGTTTCACTATAGCCAAGTTCTTTTTTTTGTTTATTTTTTCAAATATTTGGAATTTTGAAACTGTAAATACTGTGTTGTGTTGAAATAAATATGCAGTGAAAGCATAATATACTGTTTATCTGCGTTCTAAACATTTAGTTTCCATTCTTAAATCCTATCATGCTATATTTGAATAATATAGTGTAGGACCATACCTACAGTATATAAGGCATATTTATACTTTTTATTTTTCAAAATACCAAACAGATCATGCATTTTAGCCATTCCTCATTTCGCTTAATTTAACACTGTCTTTGCATGGGCTGATTCTGTGAGAACAGCACCATCTACAGGCCTGGCATATGTACTACAGCGTCTCCACGCTTTCGAACGGCAATGTCCGTGGCTGTCTCCTCCTGATTGGTGGAGTTGGCCCAATAGCCGTAGCACCACTTCTGTGACGTCATAGAATGGTTCAAATCTGGATCAGTCTGTATCAGATCCGTTGCAGCCCCTTTTTAAGAGATTTGGGTATGGAGGAAAATAGAGAGGGTTGTGTTTTCTGACACTTGGTGAGTTCCCTGGAACACCGGGGACACATATTCATGTATAAAAGATGTACAAAAGTGCATTTTGCATGATAGGTCACCTTTAATGTACATTATTAACAGAATTATCAGGCTATGTTTAAAAACACACATTTCTGGTAATAAAGCTGCACATCTGAGGAATTGATGGTAACTAATAATAATGCACAACCAACCAATATAATAATTGAATCTTCAAAGAATTATATTTAGTTTAAAAACAAGAACAAACATAGTTATAAAATGTATAGATAACATAGGCCTACTGTTTGTAATATATCTATTGGCATCTATCATTACAACCATGTATCTGATAATTTCTCTTACTTCAATCTGACACTTTTAAGACGGGACAAATAAGAAAGTACAGCACTTATCACATGAAGAAGCTTTATATGAGACATGAAACACCCATGTAATAAAACGTAATAAAAGTACCAAAAAGCAGGTGATCTAAATGAGCAATGAGGGTCACTTAAATGATAAATCTGCAGTCTCTGGTTGAGAGCTAAGGGCAATACCAAGGAATTACATTTTTAAAACTTTTCTTGTTCCTCATTATAAAATGCAGATTTCACCTCAGTATTTAATTATAAAAACTCAACACTCA